GTTACAGAAAATTCTGAAGCAAGATTTACATCTTACAGCCTACAAAATTCAGTTAGTTCAAAAACTGAACGTTCCCGATTATCCTCTCCGACTGAATTTTGCAAATGAAATACTTCAACGCTTTCCAACGTTTGAAAATATTTAGTGACGAAGGGAACTTTCACTTAAATGATCACGTAAACAAACGGAACTGCCGCTACTAGGCCAATGAAAATCCAAGACATAAACATGAACAACCACTACATAGACCAAAAGTTATTGCGTGGGCTGCCATGTCTGGTGAAGGCATCATTGTACCTTCTTTTTTTGAAGACCGGCGAGGGCGAACACTTACGGTAAACAGTAACGGGAATTGTGACATGTTAAGAAACTTTTTGGTTCCATAACTGCTAGAGTTTGGTGGTTTTGGGAATTGGTTTGAGGCCACTTGCCACACCTCAAACCTATTGCTTGCGGTTGCCGGTCAACTTTTTCCGAAAAAAGGCCCGATTCACACCTCCTGATTACTTTTATGGGGATACCTTAAAGAGAAGGTGTTTGCAAACAAACCACGATCTCTACTGTAATTAAAGCACAATATCGAAACCGAAATGGCCGCCGTTTCCAGAGAGATGTGTAGACGTATGACGGCTAATTTCCGTTTTCGGTTGGAGAAGTGCCAGCAGCGCGAAGGTCAACATTTGGACATCATCTTTGACACTTAATTTTGTCTAAAAATTAACAAAAAAGATTTTTTTTGACGTAAGTTTTTTATTGAATTTACAAACACCACCAGGGGGTGTTTGTGGAAAAAAATTAACAGTAAGGAGAACTTATTGTAAGTGCGTGGGATTTTTTTTTATCAATTTTACCTTATTTGAAACAGACCTTTTTATCACTTTCCTTAGAAAGCTGACGATGACGATCGCGTGATTGTCGTGCTTACAAAGTATGGACGAATCGTAGTTCACGGATCAATTATGTGCACACATATTTAGTATAGTTGGACGTAGTCATGCTTGACTAATGTAATATTACCTTCGGATGAAAGTAATATGATTAACTTAATGGCTAAAATACGTTACCATTATTATCAACATGTAAAATATTCCCCCCTTGCACTACTTTTGCTATTTCGCCGTAGCTGCTCTCTGCACGCCGTAATTATCTAATTATATATATCCAAGAAGACCGACATTGTTACGTACGACGAGTCGCCGAGCTAGAGAATTGCACGAGCAATTTTCAGCCGATTATATTATTTGACTTTTGAAAGGCTAGTTTAATGAAAGAAGGTTAAGTTGTATCTTTAAACCACTTTATTACTGGCCTGTCCCATGTCCTATGCCATAATCGCATCAAAACGGTCACACAACTGAAAAACGGAACCCATATAGGATCGCTCATGTGTCTGTCTGTCCGTCTGTCACGGTCAATTTAAATTATTGAATTAAAAAAAAGTAATGAAGATTCGGGCTATAGAGCCGTGGTCTAAGTGAACTATTCTGTTCAGACGTTTCGTCGGCTACTGCGGCCGACATCCTCAGTGGCGTATCAGGCGTTTTGATTCCCCGACAAAATGTCCCCGGACAAAATATCCCTGGACAAAATATCCCCGTGACAAAATATCCCCGTGACAAAATATCTCTAGACAAAATATCTCCAGACTAAATATCACCGAACAAAAGCCCCGATAATAAATTATCGAACTGATACTCCAATAAACAATATAAAATTCATATACTTCATTTCATATATTTCTAGGGATATTTAGTCATAAAATTCATATACTTCATTTCATATATTTCTAGGGATATTTAGTCTGGAGATATATTGTCACGGGGACATTTTGTCACGGGGATATTTTGTCTGGGGATATTTTGTCACGGGGATATTTTGTCACGGGGATATTTTGTCACGGGGATATTTTGTCACGGGGATATTTTGTCTGGTGATATTATGTCGGGGGATGAAAAATCATGGAACCTGTACAACGATTTACTTTTAGAAAATGAAAAAATTCCTCTCCTTTATAACCTTGTCGCCATAATGTATTTTTTTATGAAAAAGGTTTAATTTTATAAAATTAAAGTTACCAGGGCTTCAAAGAATGGTAAACGACCAGCATTATACTTATTATTATTATCAGAAATGCCAAATGATGTAAGTAATCACCCTAGGAGACAGTAGCTCCTAGGACAAATCCTTGTAGTGGGACCATAATTAAGTACATTTCCCGCACAGGCCACTATCTATCGGATTGAGTTCTGACAAAAGGATAGGGTCTTGATTAAGTTTCATATTTTAAAGAAAACAAATCGATTATTGTCCGATTGTCTCGTAGTAATATGCAGAGTTTTTACACTTGATGACTTTATAGGGCCATTTTACAAATTGAAGGAATCCATATTGAACGCTTAGTTATTGAGGCTTTCAGTGATGCCTATTTGGAGTTTTCTGTTTCAAATAAATGCTTTGTGGACATTATATGAAATGGAGTCAACTTAAATAGGTACTTAGGTATACTCCGCATAGTTAGGTACCATTTTTCACTGACTGTTACTTGTTAAGCGAGCAGGATCGGGTCGCCTTCGTATGAGATGAGAACCAACCGTGATAAGATTCTACAATTATTTTCAGTTCTTAGTGCTCGTTGTTTACTTCTTTTGCACTTTTTTTAACTGTTCACAGAAGACTTCAAGAGTACCAAATGAGATCAGGAAAACCAGCTTTATGTCCTTATTTGTCCAGAAATCATCGCGTTTAACGTCTACAATTTGCATGAGAACATGCAGAACAGTAGGGTATCATACCGTTTACTCATAAATTCAAATTTCATCAGATTGATGTAAAAAAAACAACCCGAACGATTTGCAAAATGTTTCATATCTCCAACAACACCGATTGGAGATGCCAGATTCATTGTGTAGGATGGTATTTTAATGATCGTCATATGATACAACAGATAGTCTTAGATTATGGCCCAATGTGGTCATTAGTGGCTTCCATTTTTCCGCAGTAATGGAAAGTGACAATTACAAACTTGATTAGATTGACAATCGCAATATGATTGAAGATTGAAGACGCTATTTGTTTTTGGATTTTGTACTGATGCATGAGAAGATGAAAACATAGAGAAAGGAAGTATTAGAAGCACTCCATTTTAACAAATTGATTCCATTTAAGTCTTTTTGGTATCTTAAGGCGGTTAGATATTTAAATTTCATAGCCGTAGTACAAGATTGGTTCTCCTTCTTCGATTAGTCCACGGATGGAGCCGTTTATCCGAATGTTTGCCCATCAGGAGTTGTGATTGGCACCTTCTGGGATCATAANAAAAATAAAACCATTCCATCAGTATTTTCTTATGACGTTGTCACGTTCAACTATCGTCAGTAAACCGACTTTACAAACAACCGATTTTTTTCTTCAAAAATTCACTATCTCTACCAACTCCAACTATCAGGTCCTACTAAATATTGAAGTCTTCTTGTCGATAGTTACTTTATATGTTTTTATTTTTCCAATGTTTGTTTCATTCCTTTTTCTTGCGTTTGTTTCTTCTCAAAGTTGCCTTCCTCAATAATCGCCTCTTTCACCTTCAGATGCTTGTTTAGTTTGTCTTGTATGTCTTTCAAACTCTTGTTTTTAGTCTCAGGCACCACCATGAAAACAAATATCGCTCCGAATAAGCATACGCTTGCAAAAATCCAAAACACTGTGTATATCCCCAAAGCTTCTTCCAAGGGCGAAAACGATCTCGTAACAGTAAAGCTCAAAGTCGAACCGAACAAAGATGCAAACGCCGCTGCATTCTCTTTAACATTCGTGGCGAAAAGTTCGCCCAAAAACAAGTACGGGAGGCTGTAGATTCCAGCTGCGCTGAGGAATAAGTAGATGGTGAGTCCTGTCGTCGGCAGCCATGAGAGGTTGCTTACATCAGCGTACAGGACGTCGCTGAGGTAGAAGTAAATTCCTTCAGCTATAAGAGATAATCCGCATCCAACAGCTGATATTAGTAATAATGGTTTTCTGCCAAGCCGATCTACCAAAGTGATTGAAGAAATTGCTGAAAGAAAGTAAATTAATTTATACAATACATGTCTGACTTTTCAGTTTAACAAATAATTAATACTTTATGAATTTCACATCGCAACGTTTAGAGTTTTGTTGTTAATATAATGATAAAATGGTGATTAACTTTAAACAAATATCTAAGTATGTTCTTATTGTTTACCTCCAGCGAACTGCACAATTCCAAAGATTATGCTAGACAATTCTCCCGATATACTGCTGCCACTTCTCTCAATGATTGTTTCCATGTAAGATTCTATGGCTGTAATACCACACAATTGTTGTAGTATTTTGAGACCTAAAACAATGTACAACACGTTATAGAAAATATCCACAGTCCAGTTAGTTTGAGAAGACAAAATCCGCGGTAAATTATAACTTGTTTCAAAATCTTTCAATACACGGTGACAAATTCTCTATTAAGAATTGCTTGATATTTATTTATATAAACGCACTTACTGTCTACAAACTTTTCTGAGTCACAAGAACAAAAAATTGAAATGAATATTATCCTATTAGATTAGAACCGTGTGGTGACCAAAACCCGATACTTGCCGATCCAGAGATCTGGTAAATATTGTTACGAACGAAAGCCGCAGGCGATCGATACCGGCGGCACGTCTGATTCACACCAAAACCGGCAGGCGCCGCCCATAAATCACATAGCTGACAAGACTAGCAAGACAATATGAAGTTTTCGGAAATACCGTATAAATCCAGCTCGCAAGCCCGACACTTGCCGACCCAGAGATCTGGTAAATATTGTTACGAACGAAAGCCGCAGGCGATCGATACCAGCGGCACGTCTGATTCACAAAAACCAATAGGCGCAGCCCATAAATTACACAGCTGACAAGACTAGCATCACAATATGAAGTTTTCGGAAATACCGTATAAATCCAGCTCGCAAGCCCGATACTTGCCGACCCAGAGATCTGGTAAATATTGCTACGAACGAAAGCCGCAGGCGATCGATACCGGCGGCACGTCTGATTCACCCCAAAACCGACAGGCGCCGCCCATAAATCACACAGCTGACAAGACTAGCATGACAATATGAAGTTTTCCGAAATACCATATAAATACAGCTTTCTATTTTGACTCAATATAATAGGTAGTGAATATTTAGTAGTAACAACTTACCCAGAATGATGTATAATGGCTTCCGATGCATTTTATTCGTAAATAGTTCTTTAAGTGTGGTTTTATTTCTCATATCTCGTTCGACGCCGATCTGTATCAATTTCAATTTCTCCTCAATCTCTTGCGAGGTCATGTTAGCTGGAGAAAATGTCTCTAAACTGTTCCTGGCTTTCTCTATATTCCCCTTTTTCAAATAAAAGTACGCAGATTCGGGCATGAAGAACAGCGCAACGAAAAAAATTAATGGTATCACAGAGCTGGTCAATCCAAGGACTCGATACGATACAAACGGTCCCACAGACAATATATACAGATTTCCACTAAGCTTCAGCACAGTGAACATTGACGCTAATCTGCCTCGAAGGTCTTTATCAGCAATTTCAGCTATATATAATGAAGTAGCCTGAAAGTATTAGATGTGTAAATAAAATATGAAAAATACAATTACTGAGTTAAAAGTTAAACTCACCAAGAAGGCGAAACTGGAACCAATTCCTCCGACAATTCTAAAGAAAAGCATGACGAGATAATTTTCAGAAAATGTTGTTCCAATCCAAGAAACGAACATCAGAGGTGCTGCAGCTAGAAGTGTCATGCGTCTTCCCAATATATTGGCGGGAAAACTCACGAAAAAATTGCCCACTACGAGCCCCAAAGTATAACCGGAAACCACCCAGGAAGTTTGCTCCTAAGGATCAAGGAAAATGTTGCACTATTAATGATTTATATATATATTATGTGTTGAAAACAAGTATTATTAAATATTATTGTTGAATATTATTTGCCCGCCTCCCTCCTACTAATGAAGAAATAAAATTATTGACTGATTTTATGTCTCTGTATGATAAGATGAAGTGGTTCTTCATTTTTATCTTACCGTGGTAAACTGAAAACCCAAGTCTTCTTTCCTTCCAGTAAGTCGTGGAACTGAGGGGGAAGACCAAGAGACATACATGCCAGTTACACACACAGATAATGCAGCTGGAATATAAATATTTCATCAATTAATAAAATTTCTGGACAATTGTCTATGTTAAGTAAATTTAATCCTATAATACTTTTAGGCCAATGACTATGATACCGTGGATAGAAAATGTTAGAAATGAAGAGGTATTAGAAAGAATAGGAGAACAGAGGACTCTTTGGAAGTCGATAAGAAATAGGCGAGATAGGTTGGTAGGACACCTCCTCAGGCATGAAGGTCTAGTCTGAGATATATTAGAGGCAGATACAAGAGTTAATAGGAATAGAGATAGACCTAAATTAGATTACTGTTTGTAATTAGTTAAGGATGTGGGATGTTCTAGTTTTAGAGAAACGCGAAGATTAGCTCAGGATAGGAAAGAGTAGAAATACGTGTCCAACCAGTCTTATGACTGACGACCTTCTGATGATGATGAATACTGTCAAGTTCGAAAAGATACTAAAAATACTTAAAAAAAGTATAGGGATGGGATCCTACAATGAAAGAATGATATGCAGGCTGTAACTTTTTGACAGCTTTTATTGTTATGAATCCCGAAGTAGTAATAGTTTTATAGGTGATTTATATCGGCCCTTATCGGTTTTAATGTAATATTTCACAAAGTTTTTACCATCTGCAAAAAAATAAACCAGGCTGTTAGTTACTAGGGGACGGTCACCAGTGGTACCAAATATCTACTGCTTAAATCTAATTAATTGAAAATTTATGTATCTCGTATTAGCTTTATACTGTTTGCCCGTGGTACCAAAGGGTTACATTACAACAGAGATGATCTAAATCACGAGCCAAAAATATGACAATCCCCTCATAGGTTTGCACCGGCAGCTAATTGCTGTTAAATCAACGTATGTATTGCGATTTACATCATTTATGTGGTATGTCATGACGAGAACGTCGAATTTCTGTGAAGTTCAAGTCAATACCAATGCTTTTATAATAAACCAAAACTGTCTGGAAGTT